TCCCTACCGCCACAGGCTGGCACGGTAGGGGTGACACCGATAGCCGAGTTCTCTCAAACCTCATCGCGAAGTCAAGCCTGGGGGGCAAGACCAGGTGTCTCGAAGCAGCCAAGGCTGGGACTGTGGTCGTGTTGCTGTGCGGCCTGGGCATAGGCTCACTGCTGATGGTGGCCACTCGAGGGCCGTAATGTGGAGGGTCAGTCAGCCCAGCACGGAGCTCTCATCTTACAGGTGGGGGCTTCCAGGGCAAGAGGGCGATGGGCCTGGCCGAGGGCGCTTAACTAATCACAGAACAGGTGGGTGGAGCCGTGTCCTGCCTGACCCCAAGTCCCCTGCTGCGCCCTGGGGCTGGACGGAGGCTTGGCTGCCTGCAGCTCTCCCTGCTCTCTCTGGAGCAACTTGTCAGTTAGTTTGCAGCGATTGGGAGGTCAGTCTTTGTGAGGAGTGTCTTGCATTCTGGAGCGGCAGGAACCGGGCAGTGGTGGGGGTTGCAGACTGCAGCTAAAAGGTGGGGTTGCGCCAGCGCAGACCAAGTGGGGGCTGCCTCTCAGAGTCCCTCACCGCACGCGCAGCGAGACCCACGCAGCAAGACCCTGGGAGCTGGTGGATGTTCTGAGGAGCGTGCTGTTGGCCGAGACGGTGAAGGCATTTGGTTAGAGCAATGTCTGTTTCTGAGCTGTTTCCCCAACCGCACGGTTGGAGGTCAGGTCTGACTGGGAGTGGTCAGGGGCAGACTCTCCTGAGTCCTGTGTCTGTGGCCCTCCAGGGTGAGCCCTTGTGGACGTGGCCCCATCGGGTAGTTAAACGGGGGAGCCCCGTGGGCACAGGCGGGCCACATGGGCTCAAGACACAATGCTGCAGCAGCTCCTGGGATTCCAAACAGGCTTAGGCCGTCTGAGGCCCATTCGTGTGTGTTTGACTTTATTCAGGTAGACAGAAATGAGAGCAGCTTTTTAGGTAACTGCAAGCTTGTGAAGGTTTTGGCTGTTCTTCATATACCGTGTGCTTGTTTGAGCATTTAATCCAGTGGATCAGTGGGCTGCGACCCATCCCCACAGAGGCACAGGGTCAGGCAGTTAGAGGCATCGCCTGAGTAGATGACATCTGAGCTGAGAGGGAGCGACGGCGCTGCCACCTTCTTAGTCGAGTTCCCTCTTCTTGGTCTGCACTACTGCTGCTTTAATTGATGGCACTTCCATTTGTTTGTTTGGAAGAGAGGTGTGAGAGAGGGAGAGAGGTGGGGTGGGGATGCAATCTCTGGATGAGGCTGACTGGGGAAGAGGAACGACGTGCAAAGGCCCGAAGCAGGACGGCCACTGCTTTGGCGGAGGCAGCCAGTCCCTGGGTTAGAGTTGTGAGAGCGAGGGGGTGAACCTGAGGTCAGAATGGGCCTCATAAGCTGTGAGGAGGCCTCTGGGTGCTACTCCAAGGGGCTCTGGGCAGCGGGCGACACAGTGTGACATGGGCTGTCACAGGGTCTCTGCATGGGGTGGAGGGTGAACAAGGTGGAGGTTCGGGAGTCGGAGCCCAGCCAGGAGACCTGCAGAGAGGTCAGTCAGGACAGCCAGGTGGGGATGGACGTGGCGAGAAGCTGCTCCGTTTTCCATTTAGGAGGTAGAGGGGACAGGATTGATATGTAAGACTGGAGTCCAGGCTGGCTCTGGGCACTTGGCCTGAGCCAGGAGGACAGCTACCTGTAAGTGGAACGGGGAAAACCACGGGTTTAGGAGAAGCAAACCAAGAGTGTAGCTTGGGACGTTTTGCCTGCGGGGCCTTGTTCCCATCATGACGTCAGGGGCCTTGGATCTTGGAGTTGGCTCGGCACTCCTGGCGAGGAAGGGGCCAGGCTCTGTGTCTGGGCTTCGTGCCACCAACTCCCAGGCGCTGTACCTGCTGTAGCTGGGACCCCTTCACTCTGCCCAACACCCTGTCCGCTCTGTCTGAGCACAGAGAGCAGGACTGGGGCCAGGAGACTCCAAGCCAGGTCTTCAGTGACCCAGACACAGCAGGCGGGCGCCGGGCCCTCCAGGAGGCTGTCAGCCAGGAGTCGAGGAAGGTCCCAGAAACAGCTTGCTCACCGGGCCCCCACATCCTGTGCTCCTGGCTCTCCAAACACCCATTTTAAGGTAAGTACTGTTATTAGACACTTCATTTTCAGTTTATTTTTTTATTAAGTTATAATTTCTAAAAACAAGTGTAAGTTTTTACAATGTAAAGTAAAACTTAAGTAAATGTACTCTTAAAACTAGGATAAACCCAGGATAAACCCAGCCTTTCGGTAAACTCTGGCTGCCGGTCATGTCGGGGGTGGGCAACAGCGGGATTCTATTCTCTTATTTTTAAGTTCTCTACACCCAGGAAAAGAATCAGTTACAGTGGAACCTCCACGTGGCCCTGCGTTTCCACAAGGTCCCCTGCTGCTGAGTGGTGAGTAGATGTGAGTGGGGGGTGATTACAGGACAGTTCTGGGGAGAAGTGGCAGTTCGTGGATGGCCTATCTGACCCACCCCAAGCCAGGCCATCCCCCAACTCAGGGTACCCGGGGCAATTAGGCCCCTCTGGGGAGCCCTTGGCCAGTGCCCAGGGAGTGGAGCTGCAGGGACTTTTGGCCGTGGTGGGAAGGCTCTGGAGCTGGGGCAGAGACACCCAGAGAGGGGCTGGGGTGGCAGCTGATGGCACATGGCGGCCAGGGAGCATGCTCATTGTGCACGGACAATTGGCAAATGTCTTCATATCAAAGAACTAAGGGGCAGGCTGACAAGACAATACAGGGTGCAAAGGCTTCCCCAAGCCACCCAGCGCTGTCCACTCGCGGGATGTGGATGTGAGCAAATGCAGGGGAGGTGTTTGTGGCTAGATTTTCCCACCCCTGTGGGGGAGAGAAGGGAGTCCTCTGAGTGGCACAAATGGTTTGTGCTAGGCTGCTAACCTAAAGATTGACAGATTGAAACCACCCAGTGGCTTTGTGGGAGGAGGGCCTGATTACAGCCGTACAGATCACAGCCAAGAAAACCTTACGGAGCAGTTCTACTCTGTAACACATGGTCACCATGAGTCAGAATCAACTCGAGGGCAATGGGTAGGAAGGGTGGGGGGAGCCGGCGGGAGGGGGTGGGCAGATGGCTCTGGGTTGTGTCCCTCTGGGTGAGGCTGGAGGACTGAGGTCAGCCCTTTGTCAGCACCGTTTCTGAGAACCACCCTGTGGTTGTATGGATCAGCCCATCTTTTTAGTCTAGCTTAATTTTACAGATAAGGAAACTGAGGCTCAGGAGTCAGTCACACAGCTCTGAGCATCAGAGCTGGACTCAAACTCAAGATGGCTCCTAGTGCCTTCCTGCCCTGCCCCATTGCTGGGACGCAGCCTTCTGGCCTCCCAGGAGGTCAAGATTAGAGCCATGGCTGGTGTTCTTTGCCCCAAAGGCCCTGGGTCTGATGCGCGCCCACCTGCCCGGCAGCGCAAGCCCTCACCAAGTCCCCTGCATTTCCCAGGGCGCTCACTCCCCAGGAGGCGCAGGCGCAGTGAGTAGGTGGGTGGTGAGTGGCCTCAGCCTGCACTATGTCTTCGCGACACGCTGAGGGGCAGGGCAAGACGCAGAACGGCATGGAGACAGTTGTGTGGGAAATAGCGTGACCCGTGCCTGGTGATAAAACAGTATGAGGCACAACTGAGAGCCTCCGCCTTGGCTCCGAGTGCTTCACACACAACGCATGTTCCGTTCCAAAAGAGCCCTGAGAGGAGGTGCTGTAGCCCCCATTTACAAGTGAGGAAACTGAGGCGCTAGCCGGGTGATGTATTCAAGGTCACACAACTAGTGAGGTTCAGTCAGGATTCAGTCCAGGTCCTCAGTGCAGGCTCTGCCCTCGACACCATCCTGCCTCTCCAAGGCTGAGACGTGACACGTGTGTGTGTGTGTGTGTGTGTGTGTGTGTATACACGTGTACAGCAGCATAAGATCATACGCCATCCTGCCTCTCCAGGGCATAGACTTGATGTGGGCACACTTGTGTGTCCATGTGTATACACGTGCATAACTGCATACAATTGTGTCATCCTGTCAGGGCAGAGGTGATACATGTACATGCATGTGTACGTGTGTATACACGTGTATCTGCATATGATTATGTGATCGTGGGAAAACACTGAAGATGCCAGAGGGACTTGTTATGTGGCTTCCTAGGGGAAGGCCGATGTTTATGTTGTGACCAGGAGGTTGGAGGAACAAAGGAGCAAGTTTTTTTAAAAGCCTAGAGAGTAGGCAGGAGAGACTTCTGGTTATAGTCTGGCATGTAAAGAGCTTGGAAGTTGCCCCTCCCAGCCTCACAAAAAAGAAAAAAAATCTGAAAAACTAAAATCCGACAACTCTTCTCAGGTCCATCAGAGGTCACAGGGCAAACTGCTGCCCTGAAAGCAGGAGACACAGGCTCGGAGCAGAAGCCACTGCCAGGCCCAGGAGCAGGTAGGAGCACTTAGATGGTAAAGGGCTCAGTGCCAGTGGACAAGCTTGAGAAAGTCGCAGGCGCAGCCTTGGAGGGGGGGGGGGCCACCCAATTCATGAGCCTTTCCTCCAGGAGTCCCACCAGGTCCTCACTGAGAAACTCAGAGAAAAAAACCCCAAGATCAGAGGAGGGGCAGGCGTGGGATGCGGGGGCGGGGCAGGCGGGCGTCACGGGGGCTCACTGACTTGTATAGAGCTCCCACTACCAGTGAGAACATGGGATCAAAAGGCGCGCATGTCCTGACTTTTCGCGGTAGAAAACCTTCTGTGAACCAGACGCCCATTTCCTGACGGGAGTGCTACTCCCACAGCCGAGCACGGGCGATTGCCCAGCCCGCTGGGCCCCCAGACCCCTCTGTGTTCTAGTCACTGGGCAGGTGGGAGGTAAAAACCAACGTGACCCATGTGTGAAGGTGAAGTCAACAGACGGAACTTTCTCAGTCCCACAAGTTCATGCTTGACTGACGCTGTCCTTGTACGAGCGTCTTCCGCATTCTCCCCAGCAGGCCCTTCCTAGTGTCTGGCTGCTGACTTCCTTTCTTGTGGGGTTACAAGGAAAATGGAGTTGCATTTCCACACCCAAATAACAGACGCACAGCTCTAAAGTTGTGAATTTATTGCATATAACAAAATGAACCTGACCTCGGGTCCGCCTGCTGCAGTGTTGTGTGTTTCGTATTTCCAGCTGGTTCCATAACCACATTAAACAGAACTAGCATTTCTTTAAATACTTTTGATTTTGACATAAAACATAATATTAGTGTATAACTTTCACAAAATAAATCAGCAATAAAAATGGTGGGAAGAATAACAAGGATAGCAGCAATACTTAAAAACAAGACATTACAAAATAAATTAAAAACACATTATAAAGTGGTTGAGAAACAAAAATAAACCAATCTTAAAAGTCTATACTCTGGGCGGGCTGCCGTGTGGCTCTCACCTGGCGCTGGCTGTGGGGATTCTCTGCAGAGGCCCTTCCTGACACCTCAGGTTGTGACCACCTGACCAGAATGTGGACCGTGGCTGCACAAGCTCAGGGTCTAACCTGGCGGCAGATCCTCTTTCTGAAACCCAGCATCCTGCTGCCACTCACCCCAGCCTCGCGGGCAGCTGGTCTGTCCCTGCGTGGGGCACTTTGGACGGTGGTTTGCTACATCCCTGAGTGTTGGCTGAGCCGCTGGTGAGGCAGCCTGAGGTCGGGCCCTGAAGCCACTGGACAACGACGGGGGTGGGGGGTGTAGTCGCCTGGGGTCATGGGTGAGGCGTGGACCAGAAGGAGCTCTGACCCTTTGCTGCCACACTTTATTCTTTGGGTGGTTCCGTGAGGACCAGACAAAGCAGATATTTAAGGTTTCTCGAGGTGCAGTGCCGCTGGCCACGGCCTGTTTGGCATATTCTACTCTCAGGTTCCGGGCTCCTGGCAACACTCACACAGCAGATGACCCGGGGTGGGTGGAGCCGCAAACTCCACACGGTGGCAGGCAGGGGAGCAGACGCCTTCCTGGGACAGGACGTGCAGTGTCTCCAGCCAGCTGGGAGGACACAGGACACAACTGTCTTGACCCTGGTGCACAGGGGGCAGCGGCCCCCTCCGTGGGGTGGTGGATGCCTTTCTAAGGATCTCACCCCCACTCCCACCTAACAGCAAAAAGGTAGTTTTAATGGTGTCAGAGAAAACATTGCTACTTACGAGCCTGTTAAACCATTAGACCCTGGTTTCCTTCCAAACAATGCCAACCTCAGAGGCGCCAGAGGAAACAGCGGTACATCCACCAGGGCATCTGTGCGTCCTTGCAGTCTGCGTTCATTTTCAAGGAGAGACCTATCTTGGGGTCTGTAGTTTTCCTTTCTTCTTTCTCCAAGAGGCCGGTGCCAAGGAAAGACTGGCTGTCACCGCTGGGAGCCAGTCTTAAGTGCAACACAGCAGCACGGTCACGAGAGACACCCTGCGCCATCCAGCGGGGCGAGGCTTGGAGCCCACAGTTTGGCCTGCACTTTCTGAACAGACTGGACTTAGCTTCTGTAGCAAGTCCACATGTCATCCCTCCATCCTGAACCTCGGGTCGGAGGTGCGGCTCACCTGAGCCTGTGAGCCACAACCACCACGCCCCTGGTTAGGGGCGAGGGGCTGCTTCCGGGAAGTCCGAGTGTGCCCACGTCAACCAGGGACCACTTCTGGGGCGAGCAGAGGAGCTGCAGCAGGACGCAGAAGAGCAAGTATTCTTCCTAACCCACCACAGTGAAAAGGTATTAGCAACAAAAAGAACACAGAAAATAGTCATCCATCGCAGACTTGCGCTGGATCCCAGCGCTCAACTCAGAAACTTTACCAGCAAGCTGAGTGTCGTCCTACTGAGTCACCCTGCACTCGCGTCTCCTCCAAAACCAAAAAGCCAAGCCAACACAAAATCATATGGGAAGATGTGTTGCTGCTGCAGCTTTCACTGAAGCTTAGCTGTCTGGAATCATGCCACCTTGCTCAAATGCTGCTTGCACTTTTGTGCACCTTGCAAATGGTGTTAGGAACTCAAGCGCCAAGCTTGATCAGGCCTTCCTCCTCCGGAGACACCTGGGCAGGTGAACCGACAGGCAGTGTCACCATCTGACGCTGGGGAAAGGGCAAGCACGCCAGTGTGGGCTCACCCCCTGCCCGACTTCTGTGCAACAGTCCCCTCAGGCAGGTTTAGGTCATCACGTATGTCTGCCCTCCCTCCCCCTTCTAAGGCTTAGTTCTCACCAAGCCAGCAGCTAGAAGAACAGAACTTTGCTTTGTTAGTTAGCTCGTAGCAATGTCCCCTTAATGGTTTAACATTTCAAGTAACACGATCGATGCCCTCCGGGGTGTAACAATGGTTCGGACACACGGCTTTGGGACAGCTGGTTGTGTCTAAGGCTCGTTTGGTCTGTTCTTTGACAAGCTCCACTGTGTTGTGTTTTTACTGGAAAAATATTTCACACTGGATAATGTGGCAAAAGGGACTCTTAAAGATAATTTTTCTCTGTGCAAAACAAATTTTTCAGCCAAGACACCCTGAAAAGAAATACCCACAGCTCCAGCAAAAGCTGCCTAATACCTTGATCTTTCCAAAGGGGAGACACACTTGACTAGCGCTTCCTGCTGTGGCAGAATCCCCGCAAGTGTCTGTTCAACAGTTATTTTCGGTTAGAAATTACTCTGCTCCCCACAGCAGGCTGCAAGGATGTGAAATTTGGAGTTCCAGCTCAGGTAAGATCCGCAGGTGCTGACCTTGCAGAGGGCCTCCAGGCTGTGGGGACAGAAGGGCCTGTCCAGGTCCCAGTCCTGCACCCACCAGCCAGGCACAGGTCTGTCACTGCAGGTGGAGACTCCTGTGGGGCCCGCGGGGCATGGAGCGTGTCCTGTCCTGGTGCGTGTTATCACCAGAGCAGAATTTCCTGTGTGACCGAAGCCAAACACTGACCCTGCCTGCCTTTTATTGGATGGGTGATGGAGGGTGGGAGTATTGTCATGAAGGAGGAATATAGGGGTAGGAGCCACCAGCCAAGTACCCCCGCCCTCCCCCCAGCAAAAGGAGGGGGGACAACCCCTTTTCCTCGGGTCATCAGGTCTCCCGGCCCCGGCGTCACGGGAGGCACCCTGAAAGCGGGGTGCTTGTGGGCTGGTGCTCCGAGAGTGCGCCTCGGCTTTCTCGGCTGCTCTTCACTCCACGGCGAACCCGCAGGTCTCCTCCACAGCCGTCAGCAGCTTCTCGTACAGCTTCTCATACGACTCGTACGGTGGAATGTCGATCCGGTTAAAGCTGGGACCAGACGGAAAAGCGAGAGCGTCACTGCTGGGAGGACCCAGGACGGGTACAGCCGGCCCAGGGCCACAAGCAGTACACGTGTGTCTGTGTGGGAGGACCTAGGACAGGTATAGCCAGCCCGGGGCCACAACCAGTATGCGTGTATATGTGGGGTTGGGGGGGACCTAAGGACAGGTACCGCCGGCCCGGGGCCACAAGCAGTACACATGCATGCATCTGTGTGTGCACGCGGGCATGTGCTGGGGGAGCAAAGAGAAAGACGCCCTTTAAGAGGCCATTAGCTCTAACGAATCAAAGAATACAAGCTGTGGCCCAGAGGACCTAGGGTGGCCCACTGTAAGCCTGGGGTGGGGGCATGCAGTCAGGGTGCTGTTTGGCAAGAAGGTCGGGCAACAGTTGGAGGTCTCTTCCTGCGGCCTTAGTGTCAGAGGCTGTCTCGTGTCCGTTCTACTCCAGGCACGGCGCTGTGCCGTGGACGAGCAGCACCGTGTGTGTCAGGGCGGGGAAAGTGGAGGGCGCTGTCTGGGAGCAGCTGTTGCTACTCTAGCTCACAGATGTGGAAAACGCAGTAACCAGAGGGCGTCTGGCCTGCGTCCTTGGGTCCAACTTGGGAATCCTCCCCCTGCATCCCGCTGTGCCTTGGCAACGTTTAGGCCTGGCTCCCTGAATCCAAGGTGGCTGCTCCTCACCACACACAGCTCCAGGACAGCATGTGGAAGTGATGTGGTTTATAAACCGCAAAGGACATAGCCCCTGCAGATACTGATCTTTAAAACTTGTGGGGAAAACCTTCTTCAATAGGCAGGGTTGCCTCCGTCCCAGGCAAAGTTCTGAGAAGGAACCTGGGGCCCCAGGGATGTCAGATGAGGGGAAGACCAGCAAACCCAGTTAATTTCGCAGCTTCCTCTCTCTCTCTCTGACACATACAGCCCGAGACGCAGCCAAAATGAGCCTGGGGCCCCCGAGGGTGATGGCCAGCGGCTGTGTCTGAGACACCTGCATTAATTACATGTCTCACGACAAAGTAACTCTCGTGAAGGAGACTTTCAATAACTCCATGCACAGGACACGCTAAGCACTCATCCAGTGTGACCCATGCCGTCATCTGTGACTCTGTATGAGTGAAATACAGCGTGCTACAGACAGGCAAGAAGACAGCCGCTCTGAAACACACGGGACGGCCGACCACCGGCAACGCGCAGCCCGGACTCTGCAGCAGGTATCTTACCAGGTGTGAGCCTTTGGAAGGTTGTCCGTGTTGGCGTCTATCAGGTGGATGGTGAACAGCCGGGGCCCTGCCGCGCCTGTAGAACCTTACAAGACAACATTCTAGTTAATGTACTTCAGAGCCGGGCCACAGCCCTCCCAGCCACGCAGCTCCCATAGGCCAGAGCCCATTGCCCAGGCAGGCTGACCTGCGGGACAGTCGTGAGGATCCCAGGGCAACATGGGCCTCTGCCCAGTCTTAGGATTTGCCTGCAGTGGCCACTGAGTGACCAGAACATTCAGAAAATGACGGGGATTGGGGAGGCAGAGCAAAGGCTGCTGGTAACTCCACTGAGAACCCCGACCAGGAGCCCATGCCAGGGGTGCTTGATGGGTAAAATCCTAACATGCCATGATTTCTTTTTTAAACAGGTACGTTTAGTGCACGGGCCTACTGCTAGCAGAGGGGAAGCAGTGTTAGGAGACAGCAAGATACGGAGTCCCAGACCCTCTGCAGGCAGAGGAGAAAGACAAGACGCAAACGACCCGGGGGGACCAAAGCCCAAGGGAATGGAAGTATGCTTCTCTCACTCAGAGCGGGGCTTGAAAGAAGGTAGGTCTACAGTGAGCATTCTAGACAGGACATCAGTCTGCTGATTAACACCCTTCACCTACTCCTTCCAGCTGTCAGAGCTATCACGTGACAGAGACTAGACACGTTCCACGGACACAGGCCCAGCCAGCATGGCTGACGGCGCCCCTCCCGTCTCCCTGAAAGGTGTGAAGGCATCAGCTTCCCCAGTATCGCCCTCACTCTTCAGAGTGCATGAAAACGGGCCTCACCTCCCTCTTCTCCAGACCCAGGTGAGCTGGGGACCCCATCAGACCTGGTCACCTAACTGGACAGTGGAGCCTGTCAGGTACCCCGCTTGTATAGATGAGGAAACTGAGGGCCAGGGAGGACCGCTGGAGCTAGTTACCTATGTGGCAGCAGTACTCCATCTCAGGCCTCTCTCCCCTGCACCTCAGGAGTGCAATCAGAGCGTTGCTACCAGAAGATTCAGAAATGTACGGGGTGTGCTCCACAAACGGATCTCTCTCCTCAAGCCTTGTTGCTATTGGTGCCCACCCTCTGGAGTCGAGCCTTGTCACCCAATTCTGCAGGGCAGGGGGACATCAGGCTCCAGGGGTCCTCCTAGCTCAGACCCTGATGGTCCCCATGCCGCCTGAGTCAGAGTCCCACTGCCTGTCCTGCAGGTGTGAAGACAGCACCAAGGTGCTTCAGAGAAAGCGGGCTTTATGTGGCTGATGCTCTCTCCTAGGTTCTATAGGTATTTTCTCTCCACGTGGGCACAGGGTGGAGGATGGCAGAGACAGACAGTGCCAAGCACTTAGCATCCCCTCGTGGAGGGACGAGTCTCTGCAGGCGCGGGGGTGAGTGCAGTCCCTCCCCGGGCACTCCTCTGCAGCGGGGGTCCCTACCATCCAGGACTCCTGCTTGCTGGTCCTGCCCTCCCAGGCACAGCGGTCAAGGTCCCCCCTACACACCCACCCTGGACTGGGGAGGGGCCTGTCAACACCCTGGTCACCCAATTCTTGTCTGGGCTGACCCACTTCCTAGACACTCCAAGGACATTTAGCTCAAGTCCGTCCAGTTACAGAGGATACTGGGGAGACCCTTACAATCAGAGTGACTTTTTAAAAACAGAATGTTTAGCAAGTTGGCCTGCTGTTGGAAATAGTAGTATAATGAGACAAGCAAGATTTTGAGTCACAAAATTCCGGATTCCTGCCCTGGCTTAGTACTCAGTCACAACAGAACTGTGGTTGGGGGGCAGGGAGATAAACTCCATCTATAAAATGGGGACGGTAAGCCCTGCTACCAGGCCATTGTTGGGAGAACTGAATGAGAGAATGCTTTGTAATTATCAAGCTTGTCAGGCAGGTGGAGGCTCCCATATACGAGGGATGCCCCGCACAGCACTGTGGGCAGAGGTTACTATGGTGACTAAAGAGACACCAGTGCCCTCATGAGCAAAGTCTGACGAAGTGGCATTACCCTCTTCAGTCCGAGAAGCTCTTGAAAGTGAGAGGGACTACCGTATGCTTGCGGAATATCGGTTGTATCTATCAGCATTTAAGCTCAACCAGCGAAATGCTAATACAGCCATACCCTGCCAGCTCCCAGCAACATCCCCTCTGAGCAACATAATGGGCCACTGTTCCTGGGAACTCCGCCCCACATCCGCACCATCACTGGCTTCAGAGCGTTCACCAGGGAGAAGAATGAAGCACAGTTAAGTGTGGGTCCTCCCAACAGCAGCGGTTACAAAACACAGGTAGAGAGTGAGCAGGACATTATCCCTCAGGGCCTGCTGGGGCTTCCGAGTGAGCTGGCCTTGTCCAGGAGGAAATGGGGGCCAGGCGCCCACACACCCTGGAGTGGCTCCATGCTCTCGTGCTGGGCAGGCACCCTACCCCTGCTCACAGGGGGCATCTGCCAGGTGAGCCCCTTGTATGTTATGAAAGAACATTTCTAGAAGATGATTCACAACAACGCCACCACACTCCAGTTCTTCCTGCCGCCCCAGTGCAAATGGCCCCGCATCCACCTCAGTCACCTTGCAGTGCCTTGAAGCCCTGGAGAGGCACCCGTGTCGAGCCAGTCACAAACTGCAGGAGCCGGGCCCTCCTCTCCTCGTCGAAGGCCTCCACGGCCTGCCAGAACCACCGGACGATGTTGCTGTCAGCCACACAGTGCTTCAGACGCGTGTTCGACTTCCAGTCGTTCAAGTCTATCTTATCCAAGCCACCAATTATCAACTGCAAAGGTGTTTAAAGGGAAATCAGTTAGTATAAGCTAATGCTATGACAGGCCTCAAAGGTTCCCAACAAACTCCAGCTCTACTCTATGAAAAGGAGTTAAAAACTTGGTTTTCCACCTTGCAAACTAGAAATAGAAGGGAAATTCCTCAGAATGATAGAGGGCATTTATAAAAAGCCCCCAGCGAACATCATACTCAATGGTGACTTCAAGACTGAAAGCTTTCCCCACTAAATCAGGAACAAGATAAGGTTGTCTGCTTTCACCCCTGTGATTCTACATTGTAGAATGTAGTCCTAGCCAGTGTAGACAAGAAAAAGAAATAAAAAGCATCCAAATTGCAAAAGAAGTAAAACTATCTCTATTTGCAGATGATATGATACTATCATATATAAAAATCCCAACAAACCCACAAGAAAACTACTAGAACTAAACAAATTCAGCAGATTTTCAGGGTCCAAGATCAACATACAGAAATGAGTTGTGTTTCTATACACAGCAACAAACAGCCTGAAAAGGAAATTAAGAAAATATTCCTTTTACAATAGCATCTAAAAGGATAAAATATCTATGAATAAATTTTACCGAGGTGAAAGACCTTTATGCTGAAAATTATAAAACACTTCTGGAAGAAATTTAAGGATGTCTAAATCAATGGGACAGTAGCCCTGGTGGCACAGAAGTTAAGTGCTTGGCTGTTAACTGAAAGGATGGTGGTTCGAACCCACCAGCCGCTCCGTGGGAGAAAGATGTGGCAGTCTGCTTCCACAGATTTACAGCTTTGAAAACCCTGCGGCGCAGTTTTACCATGACTTACAGGGTCACTATGACTCGGAATCAACTTGATGGCAGTAGGTTTGGTTTTGGTTAAATCAATGGAAAGACATTCCATGTTCATGAATTGGGAGACTTAATATTGTTAAGATGCCAATTCTACCCAAAACCCCATCTAAAGATACAACTCCTATTAAAATTCCAACAGACTTTTTTGCAGAAATTGAAAAACTGATCCTGAAATTCATGTGGAATTTCAAGGGGCTCTGGATAGCCAAAAAATCTTAAAAAAAAGGATTCACATTTACCAATTTCAAAAAACATTACAAAGCTACAGTAATCATAACAGTATGGTACTGGTATAAGAACAGATATACAGACCAATGGAATGGAATTGAGAATACAGAAATAAATCCATGCATATATGGCTAAGTAATTTTCAATAAAGATGACAGATTGATTCAGTAGGGGAAAGAATAGTCTCTTCAACATATGGTGCTGGGGCAACTGAATTTCCACATGCAAAAGTATGAAGTTGGATCCATACATCCATACCATATACAAAAACTAATTCAAAATGGATTAATGACCTAAACTTAAGAGCTAAAACCATATAAATCTCAGAAGAAAATATAGAGGTAATGCTTCAGGACCTTCTTTTAGGCAATTGATTCTTAGCTATAACACCAAAACACAGCACAACAAGAGAAAAAAATAAACTGGACTTCATCAAAATTAAAAACTTGTATGCATCAAGAGACATTACCAAGAAAGTAAAAAGACAACCAAAAGCATAAGAGAAAATATTTGGAAACCATATATCAGATAAGGGTTTAATATCCACAATATGGAAAGAACTCTTAAAATTCAACAATTAAAAGACTAACAACCCAATTAAAAATGGGCAAAGAACTGAAATAGGCATTTCTCCAAAGAAGATACACAAACGGCCAACAAGCACATGGGAAGATGGTCAACATCATTACATTAGGGAAATGCAAATCAAAACCATAACGAGATATCACTTCATACCCACTAAGATGGCTACTATCAAAAAACAACAAGTGTTGATGAGGATATGGAAAAATTAGAATCCTCCTCTATTGCTAGTGGGAATGCAAAATAGCGCAGTCACCGTGGAAAACACTTTGGCAATTCCTAAAAAGTTAAATACAGAGTCGCCACCTGACCCAGCAATTCCAATCATACGCATATACCCAAAAGAATTGAAAACAACTTCTCAAACTGAAACACGTACATCAACATTCAGTGCAGCACTGTTCACAACAGCCAAGGGTGAAAACCACCCAAATGGCCATCGACGGATGAATGGGTAAATGAAATGTGGTCTGTACCTATAATGAAGTATTATTCCGCTGTGAAGAGGAATGACGGTCTGATGCATGCCACCACATGAAGAATTTTGAAAACATTACACTAAGTGAAGTAAGTCAGACACAAAAGGACAAATACTGCGTGATTCCACTTTTATGAAATATCTAGAACAGACAAATCCATAAAGACTTTTTTAGTGGTTGCCAGGGGCTGGTGGGGGCAACAGGGGTTTGAAAAATAGAATTTATAGTCTTGTTAGAAAAAATATATATGTGTGTGTTCGTTAAAAAGAGTAAAAAAAAAGGAAAAGAAAATTGTGTGGGAAAATGCAGACATTGATGAATGACTCAGAAAATGATTCAGAGGAATAGGGCTCTAATTGTAAAGAAGTTTTTGGACACCACAGTCAACTTAATTTCTTCTTTTATTTTCCTTATGCATGTACAAGTGTGACATGATAAGAAAAATCCATGCCTAACTATGTCTAAATGGGTTTTAATAAATATAAAATAAAAATCCTAGGTTATAAGAAAAATGAATAAATAAAAACTTGGTTTCCAAAGCAAAGCAGCAGCAGCAGCCGTGTCCGAGTAAACCAGAGTCAGGAAGAAGCACGCTGCTCAATCTTTCTCCCACTCCAGGCCAGCTCACAGCCCATGAAGACAGTGGCCAGGCACCGCTGTGACGTCATCTGACAACAAATCTGTGTCTGTATTTTGCCCCTTGCTGGGGAGGAGCAAGCATGACAGAACTGCCCCTCGGGAGTGAGCAGGGAGGAGTGAAGTGAGACCCCGCGGTGATTCAAGGACATGCAGGGATTGATGATCTGTGGGGTTCAGAGTCTGAAGAGAAAGAAGGGGTGCAGCCAGGGTTCTGTGAGGTCTGGGATATGGAGGTACTTTCCACAGCTGGTTCGGAAAGTCCACTCCAGAGCTACCGCTTCACCCAGGGGAGGCTCACAAACTCCCGCCCTCTCCCCGGCGGCAGAAAGACTGACGAAAGTGTGAAGGGTTGAGCTATTTGGCACTAAGCAGAGATGGCTAAGGGATGAATGAATCATTATTTTCAAGAACATAAAGTCTGATGAGAGAGAACAGCAACGCTTTGTTCTTATTCTGATAATAGCTGGAAGAATCAACAAAGGTGACGCTGTGGAAGATATGGTTAGATACAAGATCATTCTCTCGATCTGAGGAGATTACCAGGACGGGTTATAGACTCTCCAGAGCTGGAGATCCTGAAAAATAGGAGAAATGTCCTGAACAACTTCTGAAGAATGATCCCGAGTCATTGCCACCCAGGGAGACACCCACCTCGCCAGTAATAAAGGAGCACAGGCCCCCTCACCCCGCTCCTCACTCTCACCCTGGCTGTGCCCATGAGGCCCCTGACCGCAGCTGACCCCTTCCATGCCCGAGTTGGCATGGCCCACACGCACCTCTAGTTCCTTCTGGTCAAAAGGCTTCAGTAAGTGTTGAGGGATGAGTTCATTGAACCCCTTCTGGAGAGCTAAGAACTGGGCTTCAATTCCTCTCATAAACCTCCAATTTACATACAACCTGAGAGAAAAATCCACAAGTTGAAAGGAATACTAAGTGGTTCAGGAAAAAGACAATATTCCCCCACTCTAGGTTCTGACACCCCTATCTTGCAGGCTGAAGGTAAGCTCCCCACAACAGATCAAAACCTCACTGAACAGCAGCACTGCCGGCCTGAGTATCAAGTTAATCAGCATATGCTACTACACCTTCTGATTCTTAATAAAAGAAGCACAACTTAACCTGACCTGTGACAGCAACTGGCAAAATGTAAAGTACTTTTGTAAACGAAGCACAGGACACGTGAAAAATGCCCCCAAAGCTGACAGCTTGAGCACAGACACACCCACGTGATAGAAGTGAGTAGTCACTTGTATTGATCTGCTTGAGGAAGAGATGGACAAGCAGGCCACGGTGGATATGTCCTAGGAACTGATCACAAGGAAGCCTCCTGCTCTCTCCACATTCGTACCAGGTGATCACATGAAAGTCTCCCCTGACTGGGCCTGTGGGGTCATTACTTGCCCCTTCAACATGTCACCGTGGTCACATCAGGGCTCCTCTAGGCAGCTCCTAAGTGTCTCCTGCTAGTGGGATTCTGGGCACAAATGCCATCGAGGACAGGCAAGCGTCACCCAAGACCGCTATTTGCTAAACAAGACTGTAGCGCCTGGAGTGAAGGGGCCACAACAATCTAAACGTGAACCTGTTGTGCCCAAGGCGGGCCCAGGTGGCCACCCATGTCCCCAGTGTCCCCCTTGACGTTACCGGACATATTCTTTTTTGTTCTCCTCTGTGACAGGGACATTCCTGCCATTGGGTTTCAGTTCATGCTGGAGAATCCGCCCGAAGGCGTTGTGCTCCACGCAGAAGGTGTGGTCCAGCACAGGGGTGATATCGTTCTCCCTGTCCAAGGCAGGACACAAGTAGACATTAGAGCTTTGGCACACGCAGCAACCAATGGAACGTGGCATGGCATGGAACATCCGGCAGAGAGCGAGAGAGCATTTACTGCCTGCCAGATCCAGAGCCGCAAGGGGCAGGGCGGAGCCTCAGCGGACACAGACGGTGTGCAGTGGGAAAGCACTGGAAGACTGTGGCGTTCTCATCCTAGAAGGAGGTGACAGTAGCCCTACCACTGTGATTCATGAGACACAGCAACCTTACAGCTGTGTGACCGTGTCAGAGGGAAATCAGCCTGGGAAAAGCCACCAGGAAAACCGGTCACTTTTATATTAGTACCCTTTTTTAAGGCAGGCTTTTCAAATCGATCAGTTCAAACAAAAAAGCACTTGAAAGTTAAACAGTTTCTTCATCTGCTATATTGTTTGAAACATAGAGGAAAACTCTATGGGACGGAGGCCCGCGCTGCCCACCCCTCACTAGCACGTGTCAGGCAGGAGGCAGCCTAGAGCCTGGCCCTGTCCGCTCATCAGCTTTTCCTCGGTTTTGCCAGAGCAGGTCCTTCATTCCTGTGATATCCACCACGTCACTATGCCTGTGACTCTTAACAGAGGGGTGCAGAGTAACCCTAAAACAAAGGTGTTCATTTTGTCTTGTTACTTTCTTGGCTCCTCTCCAGATTAACCGGAGATACCTGGGAATGTCTAATACACACACCCTAATAACATCTGTGATCTTACCTTACTCGTGTGAGAAAACAGCTAAAGAAGTGAGTCCATCAAGAGAAACTGGCCTCATGAGGAAAATACGTCAATTAAGTATTTTTTTGTTAAATCTGCTTTTTTGATTTTGTTATAATACACTAGTTTTCTTCCCCAGTTTCACACCCATCCCTAAAATATATACACATGTGCACATATACCCTAAATATACTCTGCTTATGCTCAGGCAGATAACTCTGAATTTTCAATTAACAGAAGAATGAGTCCATACTTACAGAATCCACACTAAGCTCTTATGGAGCTCTGGGTCCACCGACTCCAAATCTGAAAGCTGGATGGCTTTTCCCAGTAGCTGCTTATAGAAGGGGACCGTGAAGCCCCCATTGATGTAGTGTCCATGGAACACAGCCAGACCCATGATCCGACCCACAAAGTGGAAATAAGACAAATGGTCCTGTAGGGGACACCAGAGAACACAAATCATTAGGAAATGCTTGACCACAGCTGGCACCTTGAGCTTTCCCTAAGCTTCTTGGGAGAAGTGCCCCACAGGCATCCAGACACGGACCAGTCACCCATGACCAAAGGGAAGAAGACTGCTTCTGCAGTCACAATTTGGAGCACGTCTTTTGTACAAATCAGCTGAACATTTTGTATGCTCTTAGTCTAAACGCCTTCTCCTCAGAATTACTAAAAATTTCAGCACAGCGACAGCACAGCATTAACCCAAGCGCTGGCCTTCTGAGTGCTGGCCCCATGGATGGCACAGGTCACTCGCCCATGGCGCGCCACCCACTACACTCAAAGGAAATGAAGAGCAGGGGGCAACTCCGGTCTCCCTCCATCATCCCTCCTCCAACCCAACAAGAAAGAAAGAAATCCTACAAAGGAAAATAAGCATGAACAAGTTAAGAAAAAGAATCCTTTTAAAACCAGAGCCGTTCTATTTTTGACTAGGGAATCAACCTCACATTTCTACTTGTAAATATGAATTAGTCAAAACTTAGTTTCCATGCTGGTAAAAGGTTTTTTCATTATCCGAATGCTCGAGTAGAACTTCTCCTTGACTTCCCCTCAGCAAATACGGTTATCGTCCCAGAGTTCCTTCAGCGCCAAGCAAGCGCTTGGAGTACCCACGCAGCTCTGTTTCACCCTTGTTCTCAGTGAAGACAACATACCAATGATCCCAATCATGAAGAACACCCAGGACTGCTAACTTTCACTTCACACATCACAGTCTCTGCACATGTCTACACTGAAGAAACCAAGAACTGAGACTGAAACTGAAAATCCATTTAAAAAACATCTCCAACTAAATTTCCAACCTCTTCACTCTTTAGTACTTACAGGGTTGATTGAAGAATCTGGATTGATCTGCAACATGTAAATGTTGTCGGTAGAATACTGGAAGAGTCCATAATATGGATTCAACATTTCATGGCACAATAAATAAAGCCACTCCCTAGGAATAACCACAACAAAAGCATTTTATATGTGCCACAACTTCTAGTTTTAAATCTTAACAACTTTCTTTCTTTCTCAAGAAAGGGGATCAACCCATTATGCCTGGAAGGCCAACAGCAGTGTAGCCTGAAGCCAGCGGTGGGGGGATGCTGGCTCAGAGAGCACGGTGTGTCCAGACTATGCAGATGTGCCCAGTGAAGTGAGAGCTCGCTTCCGGAACCATTGGAAATGAATTTTCTTGCCTCAGATATGTAATAGCCACCGATTTTATCAGATAAAACTCACAGTATTTAGAAGCACACCCAGAGGCAACTCATGGATACCCAATAATTAGTACTCACTACAGAATGACCCAGACCCCAAGCACAAAGCTGAGGCTGAGAGAGAACTGCAGTGGACTCCAAGTACGATCATCTCAGAAAGGCAGTGTTTGCAGCAGTTTACTCATTAGCTTTCCTGCCCCTTGGCGAAGGTTTTCTCTGATATTTTGCAAAGATCAAAATCCCAGTTGATGATGTTAATGAGGTGGTATTAACTGATAAAAGCCAATAAAAAGCAGTAGGATCCCACTTCTATTTTAAATGCATGTGTGCATATATATATGTACATAAAACTTAAGAGTGGATGGATTTACACTACATTGTTAGCAGCAGTCAACTTGGGAATTAGGATTCTGGGTCATTTTCAGTTTTCCTTTTGCTTCTTTCTAGTTTTTAGATTTTCTATGGTAAATGTATTCTTAATGTTTTAAATAAGAAGCAAACATGTCAAAGTCTAGGGAGGCAGGGGAGGAGGTTTAAAAGTGACTTTTGCCCAATTTTGATATAATTTTATGTCTGTTCTTACTTTTTAATATAAGCATTTATCACTTTTATAATTAAAAACTAGTTTAAAACTTAAAAATGTTAATTCTAAGAGTTTAAAAATCTGAGTGGGGTACATAAGCATAAGTTATTTTCTCAATTCCTTTGTATTTGAACCATTTCATTATAAAAACTAATATTTAAAAAAAAAAAATCCATTCTAAATAGAAGCCATATGACTGAATTGCTTTGGCCAGGTTGTGATAAGCTCAGGTATAGGGGGGATCTTATAATAACACCTATAGCAGATCCACAAATAGCCTTTCAATTCTTCTACTCAAAATCTTTTCAAATGAATACACCTCATTAAGATAGCAGCCCAAAATTTTATTCTGAAATGTCTTACTCTTTCAAGCAGAAAGACACAGAATTGAGACAGAATATGGAAAATAAGAACAAACGCAAATGTAAACACCTGTCCAGGGTAATTGTGAAAATATACAAAAAATGATCAGACCAAAACAACATTACGTATCAAAGCCAAAGGAACTGCTAGAAAGGATGAGGTGCTAAATCTTATGAAGTCCTCTTTACTAGAAAGGTGAAACTGCACTCGGTTCACCTCCAACTTTTAGAGTTTGGATTTCCGAGAAATCATTTTTTAAAAAGCCAAGGACCTGCAATAGTCTAGACAGGAAGTGATCAAAATACAAGCAAAGATTCTGACAGTGCCGTGGACAAGGTAAAGAGGCATCTTAGGTATGTTCCGGAAGTAGTAAGGAAGAGCTAATGACTATATAGCGAAAGCGTGGGAAGGAATGGCTTCAGGGCCAAACCCAGAAAATCAGCACAGACTGCTCCTCCTGGACTAGATCATTAGTACATATATGCACACACATGGAATACATATACGCATCTTAAATCTCTACAATTCTCTGACGTAGGTATAATCCCCATTTATAGATCAGGAAGACTCCGAGGGTGAAATCACCACCAAGATCAAAGTGGAAGTGGTCGAGTACGATTCAAAGCTCTTTCTACCACAGCATCATGTTAACTGAGGAAAATGCAGGACTATAACTCCTATCAAACCAAAGCGAGCTGCTCATGTGCACATGCGTGCCCAAGGATACGTAATGCCAACCATGCGAAGGAATAATGTACATTAAGGCAGCCCAAGATACTAAACTCTTGAGACACCTTGAGCCTATAAAAGAAAAAGCAGAGAAGAGAACATGGAAATAGTTAAACTGGAATAGTTAGTACAAATATGAACAGTTAAGTAAGAAGATTCCCACCTGAAAGAGGGCCAGACAGCCCATACCTCGTCAGGAAATGGAACGAGTGTGTATCAGGACAGAAGAAGTTACATCTTGCCAAAAGAAAGATGGTTTCTAGACTCAGTCAAGGAAGAAACTGGGGGCAGTCTCGAGAAGAATACCTGCCATTTCCCGTGGAGAGGCGGTATGAAGGCTCATGTTTAGGAAATGAGGCTCTGCACACCCCCTTATCCCAGCCGGGCTCCAGGACAAGTGAGGACCAGGAGGTGAGACGGACAGACAGCAAATGAGAAGAAGTTAAGTGATTCTGTCCTAGGGCCAAAAGACATACCTTGAAATTTTTTTGTTTAATTCTGTTCTTTTGGCTGCTGACGAAATCCCATCTCCAACCAGAAACTGAAGGAAACCTCTATATGCTTATCAGAATGTACGTTCGCTTGGGATAACCACTGTAGGGCTAAGAATTTGCTGGTGTTTTCCAAATTGCAAAGGTGTGAGGCTCTTCTACCCTGACTTCCCCAGATAGGGTCCCTATGTGACATCGTCACAGGATCACTGACCTTGCCTTTGTAGCACCTCTCAGAGTTATCGTTTTACAGTTACTTGAGTAATTCTAGGATTACTGCCTGAACCTCGCCAGACTGGAAACTCCTTTGTCTGGGGGATAGACAGGGTGAAAGGGGCAGGGAACACGTTATTTTGCTCACTACTGTATCCCTAGTACTTAGTACGCGGTAGAATCTCAATATTTAATGACTAATGAAAAAATATAATTCTTACAAGGGCATATGAAATTATAGGGGGTATTCTCCTTTAACAAATTCAATTGTGCTGTAGTTTAATTCTTTCATTTTATATTGTAATGCAATGGCATTCAACAAATTACTGTGTTATAGTGATTTAAAAACAAAAACAAAATAGAAGCACTATAAGGCAAGTTGAGGAAATCTCCCAGAAAGTAAGGTGGCGGGGGGAGGACAAAGAGGTGGGAAATAAAAGAAAAACATGAGACATGTTACCTAAAGTGACAAACAAGAGAAGAACTAAAAATATTGAAGTTACGAGATTGAGAGATGAGAGTATTAAACCCTCACCACCACCATTACTCAGTCTGTGTCTATGACTATAAGCGAAGAAATCAGTAGATAACAGCTGAACTGCTCAATTTAGTGATATAGGGACACCTAGCAGAAGAAACACTAAAAGAATAAAAAAGTTGTCTCGAGGCTGAGAAGAGGTAGAACAGGAAGTAGTAGCTTTTCGGTACAGGCTCTTATATAGTCTTTTTTTTTTAAATAACATGCATGAATTATCTTGACCAAAATTTCAAAACTGAATTTTTAAAATTCCTTTGACACAAATGTAATTTACAGTGCCCCACCACCCCCAACCTCTGGAAGTGCCCTAGTGGGAAAGCAAGGCCCATGTTAACGTCAGTTGCAGGCCCTCTCCGTGTTTCAGGTTCAGAAGTGCGTGATGAAGAAGGTAGGAAGCGTAACGGTTGAATTCTAGCTTTTCAAGAAGTGAGCTAATGGTGACGATCACGGATGTCCCGACAGGTTATAGCAAGATGCTTGCAGGTGCACACGCTCAGGAATGCCCGAGGAAGCTCCCAGAGGCGAACCTCAAGTTCTGACAGCGCCAGACCAGCACAGCGCTGCCCCCTATTCTCAGTGATGAAGCACTAAAGAAGGAAGGGGGAACACCTTTCCTGGGACAGTATCCTCCTACAGTCTTGCTGAAACCCACGCGGCAGAGAGGGACCAAGTCAGTGTCTCACCTCGCCACTCCGCCGTAATCCAAACCTTCTTCTCCTCGGAATTTCACCATCAGTCGTTTCTTCAAGTCCTTTGGCCGCATCTTCATTATCTGGCGGTAAGACTCCTACACATAAAAATTAGTTTCAGAGGGAACGTTTCTTAGTCTCAAAATTGTAAAAGATGAAAGGTTATGGATGATGGGGCCCCATTAAAAATCAGCTTTCACTTGAGTCTGAGTTGTATCTGGTCCCCATCCAGAATGCTGACTTGACATCTAGTACACTGCTGCTTCCATCATCTTTTCCTCCAGCTTCTCCCTCAGACACACAGGACGACCCCCAGTGCTAGGGAACACTACACGGACGCAATCACTAATGGCGTAAGGACAAAGTCCTCACCAGAGATGATCCTCTCTACGTAAATTCAGTTCAGTGTGCCATTTATACATCGTAACCAAAATGAGGATGTCATCAGCAAGTCTGAATAGGAAAAGAATTCTGAGCCTGTTGTTATCTCTGAGGTGAAAATTCACACAAGATTCCCACTAAGTAGAAAAGCAAAACAAGGTTTAAGACAGACATAAAGCAGCTTAGCCTGAAGCATAGAAAACATGTGGTCAGCCTGATATTCCCCCCATTCAGCATTTTAACTGGAGCCACCTAAATGTTTATAGATGGCTTCAATGATAAGGCACTTACGAAGCTTCTCATGCTTTAACGTAACTCAAGCCCTACCATCCCCAGAGGGAAACGGGATGTTGAGTGGAAATTTTCTGGCAGCAAGATGTCAATAATTGCACTCTTTTCCTGTTCCTGGCAACCATTAAAGATGGCTCCATGGCCACTGTAGCTGACACCCTCACAGCACGAGTGTCAAGGATCAGCACAGACGGCCCTGGTGCCCCTTTCTTTGGTGCCTGTCGCTGGGAGAAGGCGCCCAGTTCCCTGCAGAGGCGGTTCTCACCCTCCAGGGCCTCCCTCAGCTGTTGAAGTGCTGTAAGAATCTGCGTTCACGTCTTACTTGGTCTCATTTCATAATTTCTGCCAATGTCTCCACAAAGGAAGGCAGGATATGACCCAAACACAGTTAGGATTTTACCCTAGGATCACCTTTTCCCTAGAGAGGAAAGTGCCTGCTTAATTAGGGGATCACACCTTCCCAGGAACCATCTGCTCTCCCTATTTCCAGAGGAGACACTGGGTGGCCACTAAGCTTCTCTGAGAAGGAGGTGCCAGTAGATGAACTTGTGTGCAGGGTGACAACACAGGAGATGATAGGTTCTGAGGCGAATGTGCAGACTGTGGTCCCTGGGTGGCAAAGACCGAAAAGGTTGGGGGTTCTAACCCATTCGGTGGTGGACGAAGGGCCTGGCAGTCTACTTCCATAAAGATTACAGCCAACAAAACCCTATGGAGTTCAGTTCTACTCTGTAACACATGGGATCGCCGTGAGTCAAAACCAACTTGATGCAATGGGTAATGGTTTCTGCACAAATCTGCAGGTTTGTACCTCCAAAGGGATCTAGTATTTAAACTTTCACCATAGGAGGAAATACAGCTCCTTCTCTCTAAGCAGGCTCTGGTCCTGACAGACTCCTGCATTTGGCTTAGTAATGAAATTAATACCTGAAATACCAAACGGAAGGAAGAGCTCACTGAAATGCAGACATGGCTCACAGGGCAGTGGGGGTAAAGCCGCCTCCTCTAAAACGAAGGTGTTTACTCAGGAAGTGGTTCCTTTGGCTGAATCGCCTGTTTGTGTATTAACAGGAATGAAGAGTCTTTGCCTTACTGTGAGTTGTGCTCAATTCTATACCTCAAATATTTCTTCTCGGGAGACTTCAATGCGGCAATGGCCAGCTTGGGGTTGCTGCAGTGAAAGTTCATGTCTGAGGACTTTGAGTTTCTGGACTAGATCCCTCTCGTATCTCTGGGCAGGCAGCTCCTCGTCCTCCACAGAGCCTTCACTGGGCAGTGGCAGTGGCTGGCTTGGCTCCTTCAGTTGGCACTGGTGACTTGAGAAGAAGAGAAGCATCAAAGTCACTCCAAAAGCCACGGCTGGGCAAGCTGCGAGCACTGCCCTTCATGCAAAAGGAGCTAACAAGAGAGTTTATTATACAGAACTTCAGGTGGAAACCTCTTCTCTGAACACATAACTCTGTACATAAAACCAAAAAAACCAAACCCGCTGCTGTCGAGTTGATTCCGACTCATAGCGACCCTATACATAACTGTACATAGCTATGTAAAAATTGCTGACAGCTGCCATCTGCCCAAATATGGGTGTAGGGTACACTAAAGGAGATACCCCAGTTCCAAGCAACTACTTACCTCATACATTATCATTGCTATAAATAAAAACGGAAATTGCTAACATTTATCATGCATCTATTACGCACCTAGGAGTCTGACCAGCACACTATTAGATGCACTGTGGCAGTCAGAAGGGAGTGAGTTGACATGAAAAATTGAAAAAGGAGCTAAGGGTGGGGCAGTGTGCACAAGAGCAAATAACTCAAGTGAAACCTCACGGTGACCCTTCTGCATTGTTATAGCCAAGACATTCCTAAGCCCACTCATTAAAAGCCAAATTCTCAGAAAATAAAGGGCTAGGACTGGTAGAGTGACCCAGTGGCATCTGTCTTGTTCACACTTTGCCACTCGCCCCAGCTGCAGACTGGAGAGCTGTGTATGCGAGAACACAAGAAGCCTGGAGCCCTTTCCCAGCTCCAAATGATCCAGGAATGGCAAACCCGGGAGAAGGCTCCGGCAATTCCCGTCTGACTGTGGCCATCACCTCCGGAGTGCTGAATGGGCACGAAGGGACCCCCCCTTCACTGCTGCTCCCCGCGAGCCTGCTAAGGGCTGTGCGTGTCACTAGATGCTGCATGCAGAGGCCGATCCATGAAGCTTCCGAGACTGGCACCTCCCTGGCTTTCATTTAAGTGGCAAGTAAGAGAAGGGTGGCGGCAGCATATGGCTTAAGGATGGTTTGCAGGTAGTTTTAAGAATTTCTCATACTTTGCTTAAGCTTATTCTCCACCAACTGACAGTGCAGTAGATAAATTAAGAAAAACATTAGTCCTAAGCACTGACTGTAAACATGTGAGGGCAACATAGAGTTTAAAGAAAAAAAAAATCTTACTTCATGATGTGGTGTAACCTTGGGTCTGTAAACTGTGTTGTTCGGTTATTATGATCTACAAAATATATCCTCCCAGAAACGGTACTTCTGACTTCCCAACCGGGTGGCAGTGGTCCAAGTTCATCACAGTTCACACTGTTAAGGTCTCTGCCAAAACGGAAGACAAAGAGAGGCAGTCCATGTGAGCACGGAGGAAAAGATCAGAACTGCGGCGTGAACTGCCACAGGCTCCTTATCAAGGTGTCTGTGTCAGTTCTGCTAAGACAGACAATCACCGTGCTACTTCTGCCAGACCCTACTGGCCCACCCCATTGTGCTGCCAGCGAGAGCCAACTCCAACAGATAAACATGAACTTTCTTCTAACCATGCTTCTAACCATGATGGGGGACGTGGTCGGCCAGGGAATATCCTTTATTATAGTAAAGAGGGCAAAAACAGGAGAAGTATCTGAATGCTTTGGAAAACTACTGGAATTCACAAGACAAATTCAATACTCAGGGTCAGACAGGTTTCTCCACTGAAAAGCTCCCAGGTGGCAGCGAGCGTTGTAAAGTGGCATGGGCCTAGTCACGTGCTTCAGACACACACAGCTCTAGCCAGCTGCACCGGGCAGAGGCATTCTCACTCCAGCACTGGCTTTTCATTACCTGAGTGCTTCTAATCCTGACCTGTCGACTATTTCAATACAAACCACAGCTATGGGAGCTCACATGACTGACCACGACGCTTTCCAACAAGTGCAAAGCCCTGGCTGGCATTTGGTACAGTGGGCACATGAGAGACCTCAGTCACGTGCAGGTAACATCTCCATTCAGAATATAGCTACTGAATGGTAAATTCAACATAGACTGGGAAAATGAAAGACAGGAAGCTTCTACTCAGATGAAACAAATTATGAATAAAAAAGGAAACGGGCATTACTATAAATGTTATTTAGGTAGTAATGCTATTCTCAAAAAATAAGGTTAAATTAAAAAGTTAAGAAAAGCAAAGCAAAGAAAAAAAGACTTAATTCTGTCATGGAGTGGGGTGGGGTGGAAGGTCCCTCTGACCTGGGCTCAGTGTATGGCCTTGGAGAAGGAATTCATACAGAAAAGCTTCATCTTCCCCAGGAGTGGTCCCCAAAGGGCTGAGGCAAAAGGAACAGTAAAGTGGAAGGGAGAAAGAGTGTATGTAGTTCTTATGTCTTTCTATCTTTATATGCCCTTTTAACTTTTTATTATAGAAAATTCTAAGCACATAAAAAGTAGAGAACATAACAAATACCCATGGAACTACCTTCAACAATGACCGACTCGGTCAGCCGTGCTTCAGGTATGCCCCTATTCACTCCACTCAATTTATCTGAAGCAAACCCCAGACACCATATGATTTCACCCATCAATATTTTTAGTTTAAAATGAGAGCAATACATCTCAAAGGGTGTACTGCCTTTTCAAATAAGATCAACTTTATACAGTACATTCAATGTAACCTAGGGGTGAGGGTCTTTTTGGTTACATGATCCGATTTCAAGATACCTGATTGCTTTCTAAATGACCCCTTTGTATTTCAGCAGCTTCTGCTATTACCAGGTTGGGTCTGGAGCGGGCGGCAGAGCTGCGCTTGGAGACACACACACACAGAGCCTGGATGGAAGACCCAAGTGACAGAAGACGGCGTCCTGCTGCCACTCTTCAAAGTTTACATTTTCAAACCTCACGGGCTAGATCGTCCATACCTGGGAGATCCAGGCAAGGGCTAGACAGCATGACACATAAACAATCTAGAAAGCCTACCTGGGTATCCTGGGGTCGTGCCAGGTGCTCACGCCCGTCTGTGTGTGCAAAAAGTAAACTTGCCCCTGGACTGTGGTTCTTTGCTCTGCATAAAAAATTGGGGGATACGATTAGTTCAATTTGAGGAGGAGTTTTCAACCAACCTGCTAGTTATCTTTGCCAAGACTCTAAGCTTCCTGTCAATATTCTCTAAAAGCATACAGAAAAGGATTTGAAAGGGCAGTGGTTGACTCTGCCTAACTTCAAGCCACCAGCCTCTACATAAACATCTGGGCTCGTCTTGCTTTCTCCAGAACACCCGGAGACATGATATCTCGTTGTTGCCGTGTCCCTAGGTGAGCCGGCTCTATGCATGTCCACCCCTCAATGCTGACCTGACTGTCACCTGTTATTGCCAGATGCTGTGGCTTCTGATACTATCTGCCATAGCTAAATTATATTCCTTCTGCATTTCGGTGCTTCTCTCTGCGGTATCAAATGATCACTTCACTCTCAGCCCTCAGCAGATGAAGCACGCACAAGTTTCTGAAGAAATGGTTAAGGAAACAGAGCGCTTGGAAGCACTGGCCTAACACGCTCACCAGGAGAGAGTTCTCACCATAGCCCTCGGGCAGCTCGGGTGACTGGTGGCCGTGCGGGCGGTTCTGCGGTGTCTGCAGGGACCCTCGCACCTCGGGATTCCGAAGTCGCTGCACTTGAAGCCTCTGATCGTGACTTGGGGACTCCGCAAACCGGCAGTTGCCTCCCCCGGCAGCAGCACCCGTGCCATCTGTGTAAGGGGCCGGCTCCTCCATGAAGCAACTAAGTGGCCTCCCAGGCCCAGAGTCTTCATACACCGTTCTGGAAGGGAGAGAGGAGTGCAACTCGGGTGGGAATTCAGTCTGAGGAGTCACCGCATTAGTATCTTAAAATTAAAATTAAATGTGATGCTGTCACCTACGTTTATTTTGCTTTCCTTTAGTAGAGTGTCCCAAGTGCCTAGTTTTATCAAATTCACCTTGTCCCATTAAAATATAAAGACTGACAGACTCAAGAAGGACAAACGACCAAAGGAACCATATTTAAAGTGTCACCGACGCCACCTGTAGGAGGCCGTTCTCAGGGAGAGCTGAATGGCTAAGAAAAGCCAACCTTTCTTTTTTCTTGATTTAAAATCAAATGTAAATACTCCACTCTCCTTATCTCCTCTATAGGAGAATTCTTGGTTACAGCAAATTCAGCAATACCTTAAGTACTTTTTAACATAAATATTCACCTCTATGAACAATTTTGAGAACAATTTGCTATTTTCCTGTATTAGCAAGTAGTTTTTAAAAACTTTTTATATTGAACAACTTCAAAGACACGCATAACTGAGACAGCAGTACAATGAATCCCCAGCCACGGCCCCATCACCCCGCTATGACAGTGGTCAGCTCATAGCTATTCTTCAGTTCCTCCCCGCCACTGGATTCTTTTGAAACCAGTCCCAACATTTTATCACTTCATCCTTAAATATTCCAGAACAGACCTCTCAAATGTAAGAACGTTTTCATTATCACAATGAAAAAATGTAGATTCATTTTTTAATATCATCAAATACCAGTCATTGTTCAAGTTTCTCCAACTGTCTCATAAGGCAGGATCCAAAGGAGGTCCATACATTGCATTTAGTAGATATGTCTCTTAAGTCTATTTTAATATTAACTTATTCTTCTTCCCTCTTTTTTGTTTTTTTCCCTATAAGACACTGGGTTGTCTGACCCCCAGAACTCCCCCATTCTTGATGTTGCTCCTGCATTCCCTTGGGGCTGTGGAACGTGTTCCTCTGCCCCCTGTATTTCGTATGAAGTGGCAGGTGGACTGAGAGGGCTGACCAATGAAGATTCCATTTTTTGGCAAGACGATTTCAGAGAGGATGTTTTCACTTCCACCGAGAAGTGTATTTGTGGTGCGATGGATCGCTTTGTGCAGCCTTTCTCGCTATAGTCTTGGTAACTCCCACCCAAGTGATTAGATGGGACTCCGCAGATAGGGTAATTGTGGCCCACCAAGGGGACTGGTCAGTTTTGCCATCCTGTTGGGCTTGAAATGAGCCATCCCATAAGCAGGAAAGAGAGGATCCCACCACCACCGAGGAAGAACAGCCAGGAGTGGAGAGTGCGGTCCTTCGGACCCAGGAAACCTGCACTGAGAAGCTTCTGGATCCAGGAGACAGAGAGAGAGCTGTAACACTGAAGACAGCAAGACGCAGTGGCAGAGAAACGGTGGCAGGAGAGACCAGCAGAAGACAGTGCAGTGGGCTTCCTGGCCCATGGAGCAAGATAGCTGAGTGCCTCTGGGCAGGAGGCTTGCTGGAGGAGTAGGATGCTTCCAGGCACTTGGTGGAGCTACGTTTGCTGACCCACAGAGCTACAGTGGAGTGCCTTTGGGCTGAAGCTTACTGGCAAAGTGGGGTGCCTCTGGGCACTTACTGGTAGAGCTAAAAGGGCTTGGTAACACTTGCTGGAGCAGGGCAAAGGCCTAGGGCCAGAGAGTGGCGTGCCTGTGAGTATGGCTGAGAAGAGGCTGTCCTGATGGAAGAATTGTATCCTGAGCCTGAATTGTAACCTATTACTTCCCTAGTAAAACCCATAATCATGAGTATGGTCTGTGAGTTCTGTGTGGCCACTGCAATGAATTACTGAACTCAGCAAGTAAGAAGAGAGTGCCGTGGGAAGGACAGTTGGTGTCAGAATTGGTAAAGATGGCAGGGAGAGGAGGCATGTCTGACCTCTGCCTCATAGGAATCAGCCTTGGGCTCTTGATCTTGATGCTCCTTCCCCCTTGTGAAGTTAGAGGTGGTCAGGCACCTCCCTCACACAGTTTTTACAATGTTAATGTTGGATCATCTTTCTCTTGTGATGTTAGCAACTATTAATGGTTGCTGCCTAGATCTGTTAGAGGTTGCAAATCTCATTTTATCATTCCTTCTTTTATTAGCTGGAAGATTTCTACAGAAATTTTCTCTCATCACTGACGTACAGTTCCCACAGGAACTTAAACCAAAACCAAACCCACTGTTGTTGAGTCAATTCTGACTCACAGCAAACCTGTAGGACAGAGTAGAACTGCCCCAAGGCCGTAAATCTTTATGGAAGCAGACTGCCATATTTTTCTTCCACGGAGTGGCTAGTGGGTTTGAACCGCTGACCTCAGCAGCCATGCGCTTAACCACTGTGTTGCCAGGGCTCCCTTCCCACAGGAAAGGCATGTTAAATGCTTGCTTCTTTCCCTTTATTTAACAGTTTTCAGAATAACAAGCTCTCCCCCAAAAAAATCCATTGCCGTCGAGTCGATTCCAACTCATAGCGACCCCACAGGACAGAGTACAACTGCCCCATAGGGTTTCCAAGGAGCGGCTGGTTGATTCAAACTGCCGACCTTTTGGTTAGCAGCCAAATGCTTAACCACTGTACCACAGCATCCCGTAAAAGCGACCAATGAGTGTTTTTTGTTTTATTTTGGGTTTTTTTTTTTAGTGTTTTTGGGTTTTCTCCTCCTAAGTGTCATTCTGAACTCATGGATTTTAATATATCTGATGTATTTCAATTCATTGCAGTTATAATTCTTATTGATCCTCAAACTGTCCCATCTCTTCAAATTGGATCCTGAGATGTTTTGGCGCAACCCAGGAGTCTTTATAGCTTCCTTCATAAACAAGCAAACTGGGTCTGAGTTTTATCCCTAAAGTCCTTTAGTGCATCTCACATATTCGGCATAGTGAAGTAAGGCAGGAGGGACATTTTCATGTACACAGCAGAGAGTTCTGCACGCACCACCACAGTTATACATACCCTTCATTTTCTAACAGTCCTCTGCAGTCCACCACAGACCCTCCTGTGCCGATTCTGTCTCGCGTCTGTAAACTGACTAAAATAGAATAGAAAGCCTTACATTACAACTCAGTGGCATTTTATACAACTGTAATACAGTGAGTCACTGCAAATTTATAATTTTTGCACAATACTATAAAAAACAATGAGGCATATGTATACACACACACATATATTCCTATACTTCCAAGCGTGAGACGTTTTACTCCAGCAGCTGCACACCACCACATACCCCTCGGAACATTCCTTGTAAATTTAGGGCAGGAGGAGGCGCTGCGTTTCTCGTGCTACCCTTAAAAATAACAGCTCAATCTTCAGTTCCTCTAAGTGACCTTATTTTTAAAGAAGACTTTGAGTTGTGTTTAACAATGACACAGTGAGCACTGTCAGCATCTGCAAAGTCTACATGGATCGACATAAACAGACACTCTATCCCTACTATGAACAACACAGACATTTATAAAGTTGTTTCCAGTTAAAGTTTCCCTGGCACATCCCTCCACAAACAAAGAAAAGAAGAAATCACAAACAGGTGAGAACGTTTTCATTATGAGAGTTGTCAGGATGTATACCCACTGTTCATTCATCTTGGGTCAAGTCTACGTAAGACAATACCAATAAGATCTGTAGTCATAACGTTGCTCTGGGGTGCTACTGAAAGACTATGTTTTCTCTGGTTCCTAGCCATGCATATGGTCAACATCTGAGTTACTCTAAAATGCTAATAAAAATGGGGTGGATAATAGGAGCTACTTAACAGATACATCACTTCCAGTGGAATACCTCTAGTTAACACTTTGTAACAACAGCACATATTTTTTATTCTAAATAATGTAATCTTCTGATTCTATAATTCATATGATATGGAATTCTTAAAAAATCATCTTTGCTTTTTACATATATGATGGGCCTACCAGAAGAAACTATTTCCCAACTCTTGTATATGTTGCCACCATTCTCACATTATCTACACTTGATGACACAATGACCAATTGTCTATTAATGTGATGATTCAAATTGCTTTACAATTATAACCCTAACTCTTTTCAGCACCTTAATCATGTTAACTCAACTTTAAATGATGGGATGAAGGGAATTAGATAAAACAATAAAAACCACACCAGATGAAACATTTTAGTACTGAGGAGATGGCCCCCGTGGGTGGGCTTGTCCTTCCAAGTGTGTCATCCTGCTCAGTGTCTGCCTAGGTGTGCTTTCTCAGTGACAAAAAGTCGAATGTCAAGTTCTGTACAAGCATCTCTTTATACAGATGAGAAATTTCTTACCCACTATCTGGCCACGAACTGCATCAGTATCTGAGGGATTTAGTTTGCATAGATCCAAACGCTGGTCTGCAAACAAACAATTCAAAACTTAACCCAGGGAAATGTTAACTACAGAGGAAGGCAGGAATTCTGTATTCAGCATTCAAAAAAGCAAGGATGCCTCCTGAGACGCCTTCAGTTGCATGAGGAGGCAGGAAAGCGTTTGGTTCTTACATCCAGTATCTTTTAATCTGCTAATGGCATTGGACAGCAGTCGCACGCAGCCGAGGAAGCCAGCTCCCTGCTTCTTGTGAATCTTCTTGTGGTTCCACACGCTGATAGTTATAGAATCCGTTTTCCCAACATATCTGAAAAGAACATGCCAACTCATTTTTTATTTCTGAATTACGATATCTTACTGACATTTTATCTAACTGACATTTAGCACAGAGGAATCCTTTTAAAATAATGCTGGCTCTGTACTCCACACATAACAGGCACACAATAAATACAAGTCTCCTAACTTCAGTGGGCTGGGAAGAAGGGCTACAATTGGTTGTGTAAGGAACAAATGCAGATATCCACGTGTAAATAATACTCTCTTAGCAGACAGAGATTTACTACATGTTGATCGTTCCATCAGACAGTGACAGGATTCATAAATTCCCGACAATCAGACTTACTATACTACTTACAAACCCATCCATCCATCCAAAGTACACAAAAGAATGCTAGGACACGGAACCCCCAGTTATTTTCAGTGCAAGTCAACCACAGAGGGTACCTTTAGCACAAGAACTGATAACCCCTTTCCAAGTCACTTCTGGTAGGTCAGTATAATTGAAACTGAATTTTAGAATCCAATGATTAAAAATTATGCCCAAGCACAGTATAATTTGTATTAATCAAAAACAATAATTACTCAGTATTATTTGATCGAAATTTTATAGGAGGGACATGAAAATATAGGTGCATATAAAATAGTGATTTAAAAAAAAATAGTGGTTTTCAAAGGGCAATCCACTTTATGAATGAACATAAGAAATTGTCTGATTGTGGGCTTATATACATTCTATCATGCAAAACTGTATTTTCTCCTGCAGAAAATATATTTGTACTAAAAATAATTTTTAAAAAATCAACAGAAATATGTAGTCAAGATAATGAATTTTCTTAGGTAAAACTCTACAACTGGGTTTAGGATTTCACTGAAAAACCTTAGCATTAGGGAACAGGAACCATGGCCGCCTTTCCTGCTACAGGGCCCAGGAGATCAAAAAGGTTGAGAAATCACAGTTGCAGGAGCAAAATAAAAATTCAAAAAAAGGAAGAAAACATAAAAATCTATGAAAATGTGAAATGCAAGAACTTGCAAGTACACGAATCCTAAAATCAGGCAATACGTATTCATTTAGTCATCCACTTTCATTTAATCAACAAAAAGTCAGTGATACTTTTCCCCCCCCTAAATGCCTCTCTTCAAAGCTAGATGCCTACTTTCCTGCTGCTCCCCAAAAGGCTTACAGAATGTTCAACTCACAGATCATAGTGCTGGTTCCACTTTGGGTCCAAAGTGTTTTTCACAGTGTCAGTTGAGTGGCACTGCCCAGACCCATCAACGACAATCTTTGCAAAAGGGTCGGGAAGTCCTAGAGGAGAGGGGACAGTCACAGCTGGATGAGACCACAGCTCTATCAATGCAACACACAACAGTCTCTTAGGCTAAAGGGAGCTCCAAGCTCATCTCATTTGATGAGAAGGTTACACTTGTACATTTTATTCTCTAGTTTTGATCAGCAAAAATATTACTTCTGTTTAGCTTACTAAAAAAGGCAGTTCGGTATGACATCACCCCTAGTTTTTTTAGATGGTATGGACAGAAAACAAAACTATAAAAGTAGGCTTAAATTCAAATTTCCATTTTTGATAATCACTAAGTGAAGCTAATTAAATAGAGGAAAGGTGGCTGTAATTAATTATATTTTTCTACTTTCTAAGTGTCTTCAGCCAGGTTAAGAAAGGCCTGGAGGTCTACTTCCAAAAATCAGCCAATGAAAACCCTACGGAGCACAGCGGTCCGATCTGCAACCAATCATACAGACGGTGCAGGACTGGGCGGCATTCCAATCTGTTGTGCATGGGGTCACCATGAGTTAGGGGCTGACTTGATGGCAGCTACAACAACAATATTTTCTATGAAAAAAAAAAAATCAAGAAATCTTGCTTACTGATCTTTGCTTTATCTATGGAGGCAAATATTTGCCAAGCCTTAGGCGAGTTCCTCAATACTAGCATATGAATCAGACAGGTTACTAGATCAGAGAGGTGGCAAGGTGGAAGGTTTTGGAGGCATACCTCGGTGTTAGCCAGTGCTCAGAGTTGCCTAGCTACTTGGATAAAGCATTTGAGCCTAATTTTGTTCAGGTATAAAATGCGGCTAACACCACTTCAGCACTGAGCGGCATTCCTGTGAGGACCAGGAAGTGTGTGAAGAACTGAATGGAGCAGGCGCTTGCTTACAAGTAGGTGAATTTCTTAAGTTAAAGGGTGATTCTCTCCTTTAGAAAAGGATTCTCTATTTATTTTTACAATTCTTTTAATTATGGGACATTTAAATATGATTTAACTTACATAATTTGATTAATAATTTTTCTGAAATCCAGTTATTTTGTAGGAAAAAATAAAAGTCCTATCTGGATTTGAGCTGAGGAACACTTTATCCAGCAGAAAGCACACACTGATGGTGGGGAGCAGAGAACTGGGTGTGGGCAGCATGGGGACCAGTGGGACAGTTTTTCTTGTATGATTTATAAGTTCTGTGTCTCTGGGAAATGACCATGGATTTCTAGTCAGTGAGTGCAGGACATTTATGAAAGCACATCCAGTGTTTCTTAAAAAGTTTTAACTTTCAGAAATATGTAAATAGTATTAATATTGGAAGACTGCAAAAAAATGGATGTTTACTTACTGAAGAAGTCTTTCTTTGCAAGATTCTTGGCACACAATACTAAAAAAGAAACAAAAAATACTAGGGTTAGCATTCATGGACAAGACTTCCACCACAGCTAGTCTATACTTGCATGGAGGAAAAAAATTCTAAAATTATCTTTGCCAATGATTTGTCTTTCAAATTTAGTACCACATTAAAAAAAAAATGACAGTTATTGACAAGTAATTAAAAAGTGTTTTCTCCTCAAATTAGCGATCAGCTGTAACAAATACTAAATGTTTTTGTTTAATCTTAAAACCTTACTCTGCACATAAGGACGGATTTAGCAATAACTCTCGCACTGCATGTTGTTGTAAGCTGCCATCGAGTCGGTTCCAACTCGCAGCGATCCTACGTACAACAGAAGGGAATGCTGCCTGGTCCTGTGCCATCCTCACAATCCTTCCGATGTTTGAGCCCATTGTTGCAGCCACTAAACCAGTCCAGCTCGTTGAGGGTCTTCCTTTTCTGTGCTCATGCTCTATTTTACCAAGCATGATGTCCTTCTCCAGGGACTGGTTTCACCTGATAACATGTCCAAAGTACATGAGATGAAGTCTCACCATCCTTGCTTCTAAGGAGCATCTGGCTGTACTTCTTCCAAGACAGATTTGTTCGTTCTTCTGGCAGTCCACAGTATATTCAATATTCTCTGCCAACACTATAATTCGAACGCATCAATTCTTCTTCCACCTTCCTTATTTATTGTCCAGCTTTCGCATGCATATGAGGCAAATGAAAATACCATAGCTTGGGTCAGGCATACCTTAGTCCTCAAACTGACATCTTTGCTTTTTGACACTTTAAAGAGGTCTTTTGCAGATCTGCCCAATGCAATACATCATTTGATTTCTTGACTGCTGCTTCCATCGGGACAGATTATGAATCCAAGTAAAATGAAATTCTTGACAGCTTCAATATTTTCTCTGTTTATCATGATGTTGCTTATTGGTTTCAACAAGCAAGGCTGCATCATCTGGATACTGAAGGTTGTTAATGAGTCTTCCTCTAATCTTGATGCTGTATTCTTCTTCATATAGTCCAGCTTCTTGGATTATTTGCTCAACATATGGATTGAATAAGTATGGTGAAAGGGTACAACTCTGACGCACACCTTTCCTGATTTTAAACCACGCAGTATCCCCTTGTCCTATTCAAACGACTGCCTCTTGATCTATGTACAGGTTCCTCATGAGCACAATTAAGTGTTCTACAATTCCCATTCTTCACAATGTTATCCATAATTTGTTATGATCCACACAGTCAAATGCCTTTGCATAGTCAATAAAACCCAGGTAAACATCCTTCTGGTATTCTCTGCTTTCAGCCAAGATCCATTTGACATCAGTAACAATATCCCTCGTTCCACTGCATAGGACCATATTAAAAACCAATTCAAATGAAGACCTGCAGCACTGACCTTTATAGCTACTGCTAACAATAACAACAAAACCAACAGGAATTATGGGTTTCTGACAGTCTGATAAATTTGCAATTTTATAAACAAATATAAACTTTGGTTATGCTGGGGCATAGAAAGCAAGGGGATAGTGTAGAAAATATGGGGCCACCATCAGGGTTTGTGAAAAACAAATGACAAGATACATGTTAGGAATTCACCAGTGTTGGCATATAGAAAGACTGTAATAAATGCTATTATTATTTTATGAATGAGGTGGTGTCAATTACTCTTAAGGGATTCTGTCACCAGACCTGCTACACAATGAAAGGTAGTCAAAGGAAAGTACATTAAAGTGCTTTCCTCTTCTGCATTGCTTCGTGAATTTTGCTAATTTTTAAGCATGTTTTATTATGAACTGATAAATATATTATTTTACAAAAATATGTCCATATAATATATATTGGTCTGCAAACTTCTCCTTATGAGTGTATTTTTTATGTAGCAGCTTTATTGAGATATCATTCATATACCAAACAATTTACCCATTTAAAGTGTACAATTCAATGGTTTTTAGTATACTCACAAAGTTATGCAACAATCACCACAATCAATTTTAGAACATTTTCATCACTTCCAAAAGAAACCCTGTACTTATTTACGGTCAACCCCCCGCCAACTGTCCCCCTTCCCTGAGTCCTAGACAACCACTAATTTACTTTCTGTCTCTATGTATTTGCCTATTCTGGACATTTCATATAAATGAAATCATATAACATGTGGTCTTATATGACTGGCTTCTTTCACTTAGTATAATGTTTTTAAGGTTCAACCATGTTGTAGCATGAATCAGTACTTCATCCCTTTTTATGACTGAATAATAAATATTCCATTGTATGGATACACCCACATTTTGTTTCTCCATTCATCAGTTGATGGACATTTGGGTTGTTTCCATTTTTTGGCTCTTATGAACGGTGTTATGAACATTTGTGTATAAGATTTAGTGTGGACCTATGTTTTCATTTCTCTTGATATATACTAAACAAATAATTTCTTTCATAAGGATCAGCACAAAGTTGGTTCCTATGAGGTGGAGGTCAAAGATGTCCCAAATGTCCAACTTTTCCAAGCTGCTGTAGTGCACCATCATCTCTAACATCAACTACTCCCTTTCGCCTCAGTACTCTCCCTCCCATCTTTGGGTTCCCTAATTTGCTGCAACATCTCACAGAACTCATGAACTGTATAAAGGAAATGGCTCACACAGTTGCGGAGGCTGGCAAGTCCCAAATTCGTGGGTCAGGCATAGGCTTATCCCTGGCCCTCTGTCTCTGCCCAAAGGCACTCAGCTTTCTCGTTCTGTGGGCCGGCAAGCCCACTGCACTATTTCCTGCAAGTCTCTGCTGCCAATCTCTCCTTCCTTGGTGGTGGTGGGCTCCTCTCTCTGCTCTGGAATTGGCTTTCTTTTAAAGCAAAACTGACAGATCCCCTTGGTGGGTCACAATTATTTACACAGTCCCGCCCAATCGCCTCGGTGAGAGTTACAAGACCATGTCCAGAAAGGCCATACTAGGTAATTCATCACATCACATATACCTAGGAGCAGAACTGCTGGGTCATAAGGGATCTCTATATTTAACACTTGGAGGAACCATCAGACTGTTTTCCAAAGTGGCTGCGGCATTTTACATTCCCACCAGCAGTGTATAAGGGTTCAAATTTTTCCACATACTCACCAATACCTGTTATTGTCTATTTTTATTTTACCCATCCTAGTAGGTATGAAGTGGTGTCCAGCTGTGGTTGTAATTTGCATTTCCCTGATGGCTAATGTTGTTGAGCATCTTTTCATGAGCTTACTGGCCATTGGTGTATCTTCTTTGGAGAAATGTCTGTTTGGATCCTTTGCCTATTTTTTAATTTAGTTACCTTTTTATTATTGAGTTGTAAGAGTTCTTTATTTAGTTTAGATACAAGTCTCTTATCAGATATATATGATTTGCAAATATTTTCTCCCATTCTGTGCGCTGTCTTTTATTTTCTTGATGGGGGTCTACTGAAGCACAAAAAGTTTTAAATTTTTATGAAGTCAAATTTACCTATTTTTTATTTGGTTGCTTGTTACTTTGGTGTCATATCTGAGAAGACTTTGCCTGACCCAACATCCTAAAGATGTACTCCTGTAATTTCCTGTAAGAGTTTCATAGTTTTTGCTCGTATTTACATCTAGGGTCTTCTTTTAATTAATTTTTCTGCATGGTGCGAAAACGGGGTCCAAATTTACTCTTTTGCAGTAGCCAGTTGTACCATCTGTATTAGCACCATTCATTGAAAAGACTATTCCCTTTCCCCCATTGAATTTTAAGTTGGCATTCTTGTCAAAAACAGTTCAATGTGAGAGTTTATTTCTGGACTACCCATTCTATTCCACTGATATATGTGTCCATCCTCATGACAGAACCACACTATCTTGATGACTATAGCTTTGTAGTAAGTTTTGAAATCGAGAAATGTGAGTCCTCCTACTTTGTTCTTCTTTTTCAAGATTATTTTTGCTATTCTGGGTCCACTGAATTTCCATATGAATTTTAGGATTAGCCTGCCAATTGCTGCAAAAATAACAGCTAGGATTTTGATAGAGATTACATTAAATCTGTAGATCAATTTAAGAGGAACTGCCATCTCAACAATATTAAATATTCCAATTCATAAATCTTTTCATGTCTTTATGTCTTCTCTAACTTCTCCAGTAACGTTTCATAGTATAAGTTTTGTACTTCTTGGTTAAATTTATTCCTAAGTATTTTATTCTTTTTGATACTGTTATAAATGGAATTGTTTTCATTTCATTTTCAAATTGTTCATTTCTAGAGTATAGAAACAATTGATTTTTACATATTTATCTTGTATCCTGTAGAAATCGTCTCTTAGCTCTATTACTTTTTACGTGGATTCCTTTGTTGTTGCTGTTGTCAGGTGCCATCAAATCGGTTCCAACTCATAGTGACCCTACGTACAACAGAACGAAACACTGCCCAGTCCTGTGTCATCCTCACAATCATTGTTACGCTTGAGCCCATTGTTGCAGCCACTGTGTCATCTCAATGAAGGTCTTTCTCCTTTTCGCTGACCCTCTACTCTACCAAGCATGATGTCCTTCTCCAAGGATTGATCTCTCCTAATAACAAGCCGAAAGTATTGAACAATTCTACGGGGAAAATACTAAATGACACAGGAAGCATCAAAACAAGATGGAAGAAATACACAGAGTCACTGTATCAAAAAGAATTGGTCAACATTCAACCATTTCAAGAGGTAGCATATGATCAAGAACTGATAGTACTGAAGGAGAGGTCTAAGCTGCACTGAAAGCACCACAAGAAAACAAGACTCCAGGAACTGATGGAATACCAATTGAGATGTTTCAACAAATGGATATAGGGCTGGGAGCGCTCACTCGTCTATGCCAAGAAATCTGGAAGATAGCTACCTGGCCAACCTACTGGGAAAGATCCATATTTGCACCCATTCCAAAGAAAGGTGATCCAACCAAAAGTGGAAATTATCGAACAATGTCACACACAAGTAAAATTTTGCTGAAGATCATTCAAAAGCG